CCTAGTTTAAACCATGGCAGAAAGTTATTTTATTTCATAATCTGTTACATCTTCCCTTGTACCTTGTCTTTATTGGAGAAGGGGAGTACAAACACACAACAGCATCAGATAATCAAAACTTCATATAGACTTTTCAGTTGTGTATTAAATTGGGAAAAGCATTCTACAATAAGTGCTCAGTCCTTCAGATCATACTTATGTGAGTAACCAGTGAAGACATCAACTCAGTCAGCTACTCACATGAGTAAAAGCTGTAGTAGGGTCAGGCCATAATTTTGAGAATTATAAGTCTGTGTTATTACTATCCAAACAGCTATTAGTAATTGACTTCATATTATTTAAAAAGTGTTTCATGTAAATTGACACCTGTATTTGTAGCTCATCAAGTATTCCAGAGGTTTGCAAAAGCATGTTAACAAATAACAATACTATTTTATTTATTCAGAAATCTTCAGAGTCTGGATTCAGATATGCCTAAACCTGCTCATTAATAGATGACAGTTGTTACATAACACTGCTCATGGTTACCAATGAACTGTTTGCAATTGTGAATCACATTTAAAAAAAGAACCAATATTTAGAAACCAACTCAGCATGCAGTTAGTATATGGTTATTTGCATGCTATCAAATGTTGCTCAGTTTTATTGCTGAAGATAACTATTCCTTCCCAGACAGCTTTTTCAAGAATATTATGAGTCTCTATTTCAGCATAGTCTCTGTTGGATTTTGGTATCTTTATTTTTTCCAAGTGACAGAAAGAGAGAAACTGTGCCCAACAAAATAATACCAGGAGCAGCTGCCATTTTTGGAAGCATAGTAGTAACTACTCTGTTCTGTATTCCCCAGAAAAGTGGTTAATCATCAAAACAACTTCATATGATACTAAGGGGATCTGTTTAACTGAACAAAGAACATAGAAAATCCAACTTGATGTTTCCACCCAAAAGTTTTTCTTTACTGATGGTGGGAATAATGTGTCAAACCTAACAGTTGGATGTAATTCGGTTTATGCAGTGCTATGATTGGATATGATCAGAACTCTGATTAATAATTTAATAAATACTTATTTTATATAATGAAATATGAAAGATTATGAATTCAGAATGTGTTAATCTTATTACATTTAACTTTACCCCCAAAATAATGTTAAAATAATTTTAAGTTTGACAAGTCAGGCATTCAGAAAAAGCAAATGACAGAGTTAAGGTCATCTATGCACCAGTAATTTGATCACTTTGTTTGTAGTTATTATGATGTTGACTTCAGTTGTATGACCATATACTATTTTCCATAATCTCCCTGCACCTTCTTCAGTGCATGGGATGGAAAGTGCCTGTGGAATGAGCAACTCTGCTGTATTTTTTTATTGCCAGTCATTCAGATGTCATGCATTATAAGCTTCACTCCATCCAAACCCCATACTAGTTAAAGAATTATTCCTAATCTTTTCTGTGGTGTTTTGATTGTAATCTCTTAAATCTTAATAAATATTAGTCAAAGTATTTTAGCACTCCTGTCACGTGACGAGGCATTATCTCCATTTTATGCATGGGGAACAAAGGCATAGAGATTAAATAAAAAAAATTAAGTCTTGGGCCTCTGTGTGTGTGTAATATAACACCCACAAACATGCATACATGTACACTTGAAATACTCAGAGCAGAGAGGCCTCATTTGGAGATGCGAGTGTTCAACACTTCTAAAAATCAGATCCCAGGTATTGCAAGTTGACTGTTAAATCAGAAACATGGGATGGTCACCTCTGAAAGCTTCTGTTTATGTAACTTACCCAGTAATGCTTTTGAGCAGAGATTAGAATCCAGTTTGCCAGTCATTTATTGCCATAAACATGATACAACCCTTTCACTTCAAGCAGCTCAGTGCCATATTCACCACACACTTTCTCCTTTCTGTAGAAAATGAACAGGGATCTTTCAGTGGCTTCATTTTCTGAATCTCTATGATTCATTCCATTCTATCCTTTACACTGTCATTTGGAAAAGGTAGTATTTGATCATGGGGTTTTTTTCCCCCAGAGAGAAGGCCAGTGTTGAAAGAAAGCCCACTTAATTTATAACTGCGATAATGGATGTTCCACGCCATTCTTTTTTTCGGTACTGAGTGTAAAACTTCTTTGTATTCTTTTATATATCTCATAATCTGTTCTCATGGGACAATTTTAGCTCTAAGCCAGATTGTCTTCTCAAACAACAAGGCACCAATTTGTGGTTTTTCCCTTTTAATCCATTTTTTAAAATATCATTATTTTCTCATTCCATAGCAACATTTCACAATTTGCCATTAAAAATGTGGTATTTTTTTCCTCAAGGCTTTCATGTTTGACAATAATGCAAATATCTCCTAAAATTCAGTAAAGACACAGGCAATCTTCCTGTAACCTAGAATGAGAATAAATTGGAATAATCTTATTTTTTTATGCATATCTGAGTTTACTTGCTACTAAGTAATTTTTAACTTGGAAAACAACTTATTTTTTTCAAACATTGTTCTAGGACATAGAAGAACAATTTTACCTGAAATGTCTGTATTTCCTAAAATTCCCTGAAACTTTTAAAAAAAAGTTTCCTTAGACAAACTAATTTTTATATTGTGAAATCTATTTGCATACTCTTTCATACTTCCCAATTTTGCCATTCAATTATCCTGTATAGTGTAAGAAATGTTAATTTTTCAGTCATCTTATGATTTATTTCATTGGATGCCAGAAAAACTACCCTCTTCAAGAAGATGACCACTAAAATGGATTAAGTAGGCAGATAACTCTTTTGGCAGCTTATCCCCATAGTGTATCATGTGTGTTTGTGTGTGCACATGTGCACACCCACACATGTGCATGTGCATGTGCCTGCTGTTATTGCTAAGTTGAGAGAGGAATATGGTGAATCCAGTTAACTGTATGTATTTCCCTGTCTATCATTAGTAGCTTGATAAACCTACCAAGCAAAAAAAGACTAGAAAGCAGAGAATTTTCAGCCTTTTTTTAATGTCTCCATGCTGTCCCAGTTTCTGAACTCATTCTGGGATTCAGTGTCCAGCTTCTCTGAAGCTTGAAGTTGAGGTGTTTGCTAGCAGTACACTGCATAGCTGGTTTTGATTTTTCTTTTTAGTGTTATCAGCCCAATTCAGTTTACCTGATTGCCTCAAGGAAGGGCAGTGGGTGAAAACCATTGTGATGTGATATTTATCTTTTTACAAATAGTAAATAAATATGTTACTGTTTTGAAATGCTATTTCGATGGTTTTATTGATATTAAGACTGAATTAATTATAATCAGTTGTGTGAATGTATGTATATTTTGAGATGTTTTTGTTTAAAAAGAATTGTCAAGCAGAATTATTTAACAGTAGTGAATTTGTCATAATAATTCACTTTCTTCTTAACCAATCAAGAGATTGATTCTTTTTTTTAAGGGAGCTGAGCACCTGCGTCTCCCACTGTTGTCAACTGGATCACTTCAGGCTCAAGACATCTGAAAACCAATCCCTAAACATGTTTATTTCACTTACGGGAATATGAGTTTAGGAGCTTTGATGCCCCTAGCCAAAGTCACCATAGGGAGCAAATGGTACTCCAAATTCATTGCAGCCCCCTGCATTTCAAGGAGATGTATTCCTGAGTAAGGGCAAGGTGATTTTCACACTGCTGATCTTTTACAGTGCTTTTACCAGTTTAAGTTACTCTTTACGATCCTCGGGAGCTCAGGGGATATTACTAAACTGGCACATCCCTGGCTGCCCCAGCCCACCTGCAGTACACTACCCCAGCAGCAGTATGCATGCACCTTCTGCTTCTGGAAGCTTTCTTTTGAGCTTTCTACCAGTGGGAGGTAGAACTAGGTGAAACTAGTCTAGTTTCTTAAAGATGAGAGAATTTATAATATTTCCCATTATTTTACATGAAAGTCCTGGCAATTCAGATAACTGATTTTTATGAGTTTATTTATTTTTTGCTATCAAATATGGAAAGTATTGGTAGAATTTGCACCTTGGTACCTTTGAAGATTCAGATTCTAGAGCATAAAATCCCTTCTTACTTTGGCTAAGAAACAAAAATGAATATGGATTATTGTGCACATCATAAAACTATCATGATATCTGTCATTGGATGCATCTACACAAGATGTTGACTGCACAATAGCCCGATACTACTGCACAGTAGCGTCTCATGGCAAAAACTGTGACGCAATGCTACTGCACAGTCAGTCACGAAAAATACATTTGGCGCTACTGCGCAGTAACTCAGGTTACTGCACATTTATTTAGTACTTGTTTATACAAGTATTAAATAAATGCACAGTAATGACTGCACAGTAGCGTCTCATGTAGATGTGCCCACTGATGCCATAAATCTGATGCTTAGTTAAATTCACAGCTGACACAAGGGCTAAATTCAGATGGAACCATGCTAGCTGGGAAAAAATTGAACAAAGAATTTCCTCCATGACCGTTGCATCTACACAAGACTGGGTGCTGACACTATACCATGGCCTTACCTTTACATGCCTTCTCTTATAGGCTTTGCCTGCAATTTTTTATATATAAGAATAAAGCTTTATTTATGCTTGTAGTGTATGGGATCACCTACATGAATTTGAACAATTTGGGTAAGTAAAGTTTTACATTAGCTCATATGATTTGCAGTGTCAGCTCAGAAGACAAAATTTCCCACTTTTCAATGTTCAGTACACAGGAAAGATATTAATGAAGTACATCACTTCCTTGTGCATCTGACTTGCCCTTTGTATTAGAAAGCTCCATGAAAAAGTGTGCTGAGCCTTATTGGACTTTTCAGCACTACAGATATATTCACTGACAGAATCAAGTATTATCTAAAATAAAAATATATAAAAAAATAAAGGCTTCCGTATGGCTCTGCATATGTATAACTTTCAGGCGTTCATATTATTACACAGAGTATTTATATTATTACACAATTGCACTGGTCTAAATTATATGCTTGCTTTAATTTATTTTGCAGAAAACCTATGTATTGCATGACTTCGATGTGGTAGATCTAAACGGAAGTAAGAAAAAGCGTACTTGCTGCAAACAATGAAATTTCACCTCCACTTCTCTTACTTCAGAAAATATTAACTACTGTAAGAAAATAAACAAAGACGTTAAAATGAATCTGATAGTCTGAAATGCATTATTTAGAGATCCCCTAAATTTAGGTGATCTCGCTGTACAAACCTTGCTATCAAAAGTATTGAAACTTAGCCACTGTACTGTATATACATGAATAATATACTTTATAATTTAATTTCTTTCCATATTTTTAAATTGAAATTAGATCTCCTTTTGTATTTACAACCCTTCATTATGTGACAGCTGGATTGTTCTTGTACATGAGGAGTGTACATGATTGGTTTTTAGTGTATAATCCTCCTCTGCCTGAAGTTAATGTTTACTCATAGCTCTTGTCTTTCTTTCTTTCTTTCCCACCTCATCAGACTCTTGATACAATGAGCACCATAAGAAGGACCCCTACTGACTTAAGAGACCACTTCAGAAAATTCCCAAGGCTTCCAATATAATTTGATTTGAGCCTAGGTTGGATACCACCTCATTAGATGACTAGTTCTTTAGGTGGTCACTAAACCTACTTTCCTGGATGGTTTTGATTTTAGTTCTTTTTTCCAGTTTAAAGAGTTCATATTGTTCTGTAATGCCAATGAGCAGTAAAGCAGAACAGAAGTAACTGTGAGGACTGAGCAAGAAAAGAAAAAGCACAGAGTCCAGCTAGACTACAAGTTTACACTAGTGTTTTTATATCTGCTTTGTATACTGATGTAAATTATACCAGGATCTGAAGCAGGCAGAGATAAATTTTCCCAAAGAGCTACATGCAATAGAGAGCAATTATAGGTTGTTTACTTTAAACAAGAAGCTACTTTAGATTAAATTGAACATTCAACACCTATGTAATTTACACTGGTGTAATTTTAACCCTGATTTCTGTCATGGCAGAATTATCTCAGTGAAGGAGATTAATCTGTCTGCTCCTTTTTTATACCAGTTTAAAGATCTATTATATAAGTTTAAATGTATCATCTGTCAAGGCCCATATATAATATGTATATGTTACACCAACTTACTTTAAAATGGAGAGAAAAAGAGATGTTAATAATTACATGTTCTTATATAAATGTAATTCTAAATACTGTGTGTAGTATAGCCACTGGCCACTTGTTCATTTCAGTTGTATTAAAACGTGGGACTGCTAATGTGTAAAATTAAATAAAGTCTTCATCACATTTCATATGAAAACCTACTCAAATTTCTACATCAAAACAGGGAAATCTATTCAGTAATCAATATCTAATTGATAAGAGCAGCAGGGTCAGCACCACCTGCCTGCTGCATGCTGCCAGCAGCCTGCGATTTGTCTGCAGGTGCTGTGAGGCATAGCCTCTGCTGTGCGGCTGCCAGTCCTATGCTGTGCCCCTGTGCTGGGCACTGCTGGCAGCTGCCCAGGGCCGGCAACACCGGGACAGCCGTGTGGGGCCCCAGAGAGCTGGTATGGGACCCAGCATGGCCTCATCCTCACCATCCAGGCCTAGCACCATCTGCATACTGACGCCTGTGCCCTCCACCCAGGGCCCCAACTGGAGCCAAGAGAAGACTGGTGACCTCATGGCGCTCTGGGGCAAAGCAGAGGTACTGTGCCAATTTGAGCGGGGTGGGAGCTCCAACACCCACATTTATGAGGCCCTGTCGGGCGGGATGCAGGAGTGAGGGCATGACCGGTCAGCATGGCAGTGCTACATAAAGGTTAAGGCCTTGTGGGCACAGTGGGTCACCTTGACCAACTACAATTGTCAGTCTGGCTGTGCCCACAAGACCATGCCCTTTATGTGGCGACTGACCAGTATTTTGGTGCCCTGGGACTCAGGCCACAACCATGCAGTGTATACCAGCACAGGCAGCCTGGCCGAGCCCCCACCCCACCCTGGCCTGCCCAGTGACACATCACTGGAGGAGGGACCCTTGGGCATGCAGCATCTCATCCCGCCCAGCTCCCCAGCTGCAGCCTCCGCCAGCAGCTTGGGGAGCCCTGGCCAGTACCTGCCTCAATAGCTGCACAGCCCCAGACCCTACCACGAGGAACAGCCAACCATGTCACCACCAGCTGTCAGCAATGCCAGCTCCTCCCTGGCAGGGCCCGTAGCCAGGCACCTGCAAGCCACGCCATGTGCACTGTGGACACCAGGTGCAGCCGCACACCTTCGCCTGCTGGGAAGACTGTGTTGAGCCAGTAGCCGTGCCAGACACAGACACATGGTAAGCCCCATACTGGGGGGAGGGCTCTCCCCACCCTGGCCCCTGCCCCGTCTCCCTGCCTGGCCTGCCTGCACTCCCCTGGCCCTGGGTTACCCCCCACAGCACACAGAGAGGCAGGACACACTGCAAAACTTTGAGCAGCCTATGCCTCTGCAGTTGGGCAGGCACAGGCCTCTCAACCCATGGAACGTGTCAATGCAGACAGCGATGTCCTCCTCGGCAGCAGGGGGCAAGGACATGTAGCGCTGCCACATGTAGCTCTTCAGGTGGCAGTGGAGGTTGCGGGGCAGCCCGGGCTTGCCCCCCATACTGTCATAGCTCAGGGTCCCAAACCAGGAGTGCAGGTGTACCTGGGGCACCATGAGGATCAGGAGTGGCAGGGCACAAACAGCACACAGCAGGGGCACACACAACAGGGGGCTGACTCTGGGACACCTTCCCAGAGAGGCCCCCTGCAGGGAGGATGGGTGCAGCCAACTCCTTGTCCCAGTTATACAGGAGCCCCACACCCCCCAAACCTGGGCACCATTGGGTCTTGGACACTGTCCTGGGCCTGGAGGTTTCGTTTGTGCCCACCAGTCCCCAGGCTCCGTACCTAGCCCTGCAGGCCTCCTGGCAGATGCCCACTGCCCTGCAGCAGGCCCCCTCCTGGGCCTGGGAGGAGGTCCTCCATCACCTCCAGCTGGCAGGAGCTTCAGGCCCAGCTCCCACCCCGGATCTGCCTCCACCCAACCCCCTGCCCCCCCGGCCTGGGCCCAGGTCAGCTGCTTGCCCTGGCTCCTTGCGGGAGTGTGAAGCCAGAGCAGCCAGCAGCAGGGACAGGACCCTATACCAGCCCTGCTGGCCACAGACAGCCCTTGGCAGAGGGGGAGCTGCCTGTGCCAGAGGACCAGTAGCTGCCATTGCCCCAGGGCGAGCTCTCTACCTCCTTCACATGCTGTGTCGTGTGCACCTGTGGGGTAACAGCCTGAGTCCAGGGTGCTGGCTGCCTGCCCCCGGGCTCTGCCCCCTAGATGTCCCCCACCCCATGGCCCCCCACTCTGGGACACCAACTCCCCCCCACTTTTTATATAGTTTTCACTGGGAAGAGGGTTTTTTACTGTTGGTGAGTGGGATGGGTAGTGGTAGGGCTCTGCTTGTTGGAGAGGGAAGGAGGACGGGGCTCTGTGTTGGGGGAGGGGGTTCTGTATGTTGAGGGGAGGGATGGGGTGTGTGATGCAAGGGGAATAAAGATTTCTACTTTGGACATGTGTCTGCCATGAGAGTGGTGCCGGGGTTGGGCAGGGGGTAGGAGGTGTGTGGGTGGCAGGGCAGATGGGCTAGAACAGGGAGTGCTGGATTAGGTGCTCGCTAGAGCCTCCCGCACCTGGTGCTCTGGGCCCCACTGGCAGGTGCATGGCTGTCCTGGTGCCTCGGCAGGGGGGACCCATCACTGTCACCGCAGGTGGTGCTCCCACTGCCAGGCATCCTCCACCTAGGCCTCACAGAGCAGCTCTCCCTGCACCTCGCATATGTTATGCAGCACATAAGCTGTGACGATGACCCAAGAGAGGTTCCCCTCAGCAACCTCAAGGTGGGCAGAGAGGGAGCGCCAGCGGCCCTTGAGGTGGCTGAAGGCACACTCAACCAGGGCTCGGGTCTGGCCCAGGCAGTGATTAAGGTGGGCCTGGTGGGGTCCAGGTGGCCAGTATAGGGCCATACCAGCCAGGACAGGAGTGGGTAGGCAGGGTCACTGATGAGCAGGGTGGGACCACGACAGTGCCCAGCTGCAGGTGCGGCACCCCCAGCATGAAGTGCCTGCTCTCCACCAGTCCCGCCAGGCCAGAGTTACAAAAGATGTGGGCGTTGTGCATGCTGCCCGCCCAGGCAGTGCTCACATGGGTGAATGTGCCCCGGTGGTCCAAAATGGCCTGCAGGACCATGAAGTGAAATCCTCTGTGGCTGTAATACGGGTAGTCTCCATGGGGTGGGCAAGTGATGGATGTGGGTCCCGTCCTGGGCCCTGATACACTGGCAGGAGCCCAGTGCATAGAACCCTGCCACCATTGCCAGGGGGATGTGGAGGCAGAGCATGGTCTGCCCCAGCACATCCTGGAGGGCTCCACACACCTCCAGGACAGCCTCCCTCACACACCTCCAGGTGGCCTTGCCCACACCAAACAGGTGTCCCACATACCGGAGGCTGGTAGGTATGGCCAGCTTCAGCAGTGTGAGGGCCATTCAGGTGCATGCTGATGTCCTCCTGCTCCAGGTGGGGCTGGAGCTGCTGGAGCAGGTCCCCAAAGGTGGCCCAGGTCAGCCAGAATGTGTCCAGAATGTGTCCGTGTTCATTGTCCCAGGTCTGCTGGACAAGGTGCAGCTACCTATGCTGGCTGGAGCCACAGGCCCAAAAGCTGCAGGGCTGGAGGTCTAGGAGGATGACAGCAGCCTTGGCAGTGGCATCTGGAGCCCCTTGTTGGCATCCGTGGTGGCAGCAGATGTGTGGTAGCAGTGGTGGCGCTGGTGCACTGCAGACAGGTAGGTGGTTGCTGGTTGTTGGGGAACTGAGCAGGGTGAGACAGCCATGGACCAGGTGGCAGTTGGTGCAGCAGGCCAGCAGTGCAGGGGCAGTGGCCAGCAGGATCGCAGGACGCTGGTCATCACTAACAGGGTCAGGGGCTGGAGCAGCCATACCATATGGAGGCAGAGTGGGCATGAACAAAACTGCCATGTGCTGAAAGAAACAGGCCAGGGAACAGAGAGCAGGCCTGGCTTTTAAAGATGACTGCTGGGTGGCAGCCAGAGCCTGCAGCCTGGAACCTGGAGCTTGCCCCAGTGGTGGCAGGGGCACGCTGCAGAGCTGCAGGGAACTGGCAGCAAATTTTAACCCTTATCCTCACGTATGTTGACACCTACCCAAAAACCCTTACTCTGGAGTATCTTACTGCAGAGTAATTCTAGGCTGGAGTAAATGCATGTGTAGGTGCATCCACTAAGGGCTAAATTTGGTTCATCACTTGAAATACTTTCTCAGAATGTTTTCAGCATCTTAACCAGTATTTAGAACATTGAACTTCCCATTTTTCTGGATTCTTTCCCACCATGTTGTCCTTTCTCAGTTATGGGCCAGAATCTGGCATTTGGCCACTCACATTAAGGAGGTGCAATACTTTAGTTCCCTGGCACACCAGGAATTTGCAAGGTGCAAAGTTCTGTTGCCCCTAGCAAACTAGGTCAGCAGTCTAGTATAGAAGTGGGATGGGCAGGGCCCAGCTTTGCCCTTTCTCCTTTGGGTGGTTTGTTCTCTTGAGGTAGTAGAATGAATGTCTTCTTTAGATTTACATATTGTGATCATCCCTGGCCCAAATCCAGAGGAGGAAGGCGCAAAGTGAGGAGGCTTCCACCTCTGAGTTGTTCCACTTCTGTATCCTATTCAAAGGGCAGGAACAACTTGAACCCCACTTTTGGTGCTGAGCACTCTTACTGGTAGCACTGAAAAGACACAGTCCTGTAGGGAGGCATTTTCCATGTAGTTACAAATCATACTATAGACATTGGAACTGCTAAAGATGTACCAATCAGCATTGAGGGAGCTTGTAGAATAAATCAGTTTTAAGGGGGAATTTGAAATAAAGAAGGGGGACCCTTCTTACACCCTGGGATTTATGTGGTGTTTATACACTCTATCTAGAGGCTTTTCAAAGATATCTCCTACAAGCAAAGATCATGGACATGACTAGCAGCAAGGCTCTCTTTATAACGGATTTTCCCAAGAAGGTAAGAAAAAGGTTCTTTCTCCTATTATCAGGCACAAAAATTAACTACACTAGATACTTTTGGTTTACTTCAACAAATTAGCATTTAGGGTCTGATTTCCAGAAGTGATAATTATCTGTGACAACTACTGACTTCCACTGGAGTTGTTAGTATTTAGCACTTTGCAAGATCACTCCAACATGTTATTTCAGTTGGCATGCATATGCTC